CAGTCAACGTGAGACCGAGCAGCCGCAGAGAGGTGCTCTCGAGAAGTTGAGCGTCAGACATTCTAATGGAGGGCAGGGAAGGATCTCTGTGATGATTAATAAAGAGCAGTTTTGTTTTTGAAGCATTAAAGTTGACCAGCCAATTCCTGTCCCAGTTCACAACCGATTGGACGTCCTTTTCGAGACGCACGGCCAGGTTAGTTTTGTCAGCGACACTAGATTTGTTTTTGAGGAAGGAATAAATTGTGGTGTCATCCGCGTAGATGCCAAATTGGGAATTTATGGCGTCAGGAAGGTCATTTCTGTAGATAAGGAATAGAGTGGGGCCTAGGATGGAGCCTTGAGGAACACCTGCGTTCGTGGGATAGGAACTGGAGGAGAATCCGTTGCCAACGACCTTCAATTCACGGTTTGACAGGAATAATTGTATTAGGTCAAACATTCGACCAGTAATGCCATAACCCTGGAGCTTGCGAAGAAGGCCGACATGCCAAACCCTATCAAACGCTTTGGAGATGTCTCGGGCCACGGCACGAGCTTCCCCGTTATTTTGAAGAGCTTGGTAGACAGTTTCTGTGATGGCCGTAATCACATCAGTTGTAGATCGGGCAAAGCGGAAGCCATATTGCTTGTCTGAGAGCAGATCATGGGATGTGAGGTGGTTAACCACTTCGGTATTGATTAGGGCTTCGAAGACTTTGCTAGGACGGTAATTAGAAGGGTCAGAGGGGTCGCCAGAGTTCTTAAAAACATGAACAATCGAAGAGGACTTCCAGCAGTCAGGAAAACAAGATTCCTTGAGGCAGTAGTTATATAGTTTAGAGAGGGCGGGCGTCAGTTCAGGCACGCATTTCTTCAAGACAATGGTTGGTATCCCATCTCCACCACTAGCCTTGTTGTGGTCTAAATTGGAGATAATGCCCAAAACCAAAGACGGGGTTATGCGTAACTCACTCAATAGGGCCTCAGTTCTAAGAGGGAAGTCGGGTATGGGTACACCGGAAGAGTTGAGCGTTGAGTTGAATGAAAATTTCCGAGCAAAGCATTCAGCCTTGTCGGCAGAGGAGGTCAGGACTTCGAACTGGTTGAACAATGGAGGTATAGAGGGTTTGCAATTGTTCAATACGCTCTTGCAGAGACGCCAATAATCTTTGGAGCCAAATTTGCGAGATGCAATACGCTCCTTCATCCGAGCAGCAAATAGTGACTTAGTATCGTTGAGGACACGCTTATACTCGTTACGGGCGGAGGCAAAGAGACGTCTATTGCAGTCAGACATGTCGCTACGAAATAGGTGAAAGAAGTAGTTCCTATGGACGATGGCGGCTGAGCAAGCAGCGGAGAACCAGGGGGAGGAGCGCGACTTGACCCTATATTCCATGAGGGGATGAAAGCGTCGATTCCAGCTTTAACCCAGGATGAGACCTCAGAAGAACATTCTTGGACGGGGACATCGCGGAGGAAATCACGGAACGCGTCCCAGTCAGCTTGTTGATAGTAGAACGAAGTTCTAGTGGTAGGAGGTTCTTTGCAGGGGGTGGAGTTGAAGGAGATGTTAACAGATACTACCGCATGATCAGAGTTACCAAGAGGGCAGAGTTGCGTGGCGCTACAGGACTCGGGGATGGAGTTAAAACACAGATCGAGAAGAGAGGCTTTATCTTCCCGGTTGAAGGCAAAACGATTGGGGAAGTTAACTATTTGCGTGAGGGATTGAGAGACTGAAAGATTGAGCGTTTGAATGCCTGCGTGGTCAGTAGTAGCATTCTTAAGCCACATGGTATGATGGGCGTTAAAGTCGCCAAACACAAATATGTGAGCAAACGGGTGGAGGGAGAGAGCCTTGTCTATGCTGTCAGAAATACTATCGAGTATCCCACAGTCTTGAGAGGATGGAGAGCGATAAAGGAAGAAGAGATAGCTTACCGCATTGAGAAGAGATAGTCGGAGACACAGTCTGACTAGTCTGACGATTCGAGAGACAACTCTCTGGCCAGAGGGAGATGGTCCTTGACGTAGACATCAAGGCTGTGCATGTGGGTTAGAGAGTCTTTCCTGAGGAGAGGAAGGTAGCCTAGAATAGAGAGATCAGAGGAGGGGATAGACGAGACAAGGTTAGTCTCACAGAGAGCCAGTATATCCGGACAGTTTGCAGTAAGGAAAGATTCCATACTGCAGAAGTTTGTTCTAATGCCACGGATGTTGGAGAACGAAATGTTGAGGGGTTTAAGTGATTTATGAGCGGCTGGTTTAGGGTTACTTTTTCGGCCTTTGTAAGTCATGTTGAATTTTAGTTGGAAGATGAAAAGCCCCGAAGTAAAAGAAGCAGACAGTTATCGACCGTGACGTGGGCAGAGAGGAGTTGGCACAACCTGCATCATAATGTGGCCTCAGGGTTGCCCACCGGAGGTTACTGCAGGGACACCTTTCCATGCGCGACATGGCACTACAAACACCCCGGTATTATACAAATATTGTTCAGAGCGGTGGATCAAGACGCTACGCAAGAGTTAGGACTCCTAACTACCAGTCGGAAACGGCAACCAGAGAACTGTCAGCAGTGTACCTTCAAAATGAAGAGGTGATGCCACAGACTGCACACATCACGGGAGAAACAAAGCTGCACTAATACAGAGGCCAGAGAGAGAGAGAGTACCGGGAACCCCTTCCTAAACAAGAAACAAGGCGTAAGCCTCTACTCATGTCCAAGAGAAGGGGGAGGAGTGTTGACCGGGCGGTAGGAAAACCTACCTACTCCTATTACATATAACACATACAAGAACGACAAAAACAGAGGAAGGATAAGAGGGGGAGGTAATTGGCAAAGAGTCCTGGCTGACACTTGGATTTTACCCTTTCACAACATTAAGTTTTAAAGTATAAGTCCCATTGTCTATTCTAAAAAGAAATTGAAGAAAATAAGGTTATCCGGATTTATTGCTATGTCATAATAAATGCCCCAACATACGCGGCAGCGAGTGTTTGTCCGCTTTCTTCCTCGTGATAACAAGTGAATGTACAGCTTACCTTAAGTCCAAGCATCGAGCTGGTAGTGGGGGGGGATCAACGGCCAATCCTCCGCCCTCACCAAATAGTGGGCTTGGGAGACATGCTTTCAATAAAATTAAGAACAACAAGAGAAAGAAACGGCGAAAACAATTCCAAGTTCAGACATTTTACCAAGCAAGAAGATTCGGCCAACTAGATCATGAGAATACTGACGAGACACTTTCGCAACTAGCCAAAGACATTCAATGAGAGCCAGAGGATATATATATAAAATTATTCCAATATATATATATATATATATATATATATATATATATATTTATTTATATATATGTGTGTCTGTGTGTGTTTTGCAGAAAAGAAGTCTGAACCTCGAGACAGACTATGCAAGAAATTTGACCGAATGAAAAAATTATTGCAAGAATATTTTCAAAAAGAATATATATATATATATATATATCCAACACCTCTGTTTTATTTATATATATATATATATATATATATATATATATTTGTGTGTGTGTGTGTGTGTGCGAGCGTGCACTGAGAAGAAAATTTTTGCTTTTTTGAAATGTATAAAGTCAAAAACTGGATTTCAAATGCTGATTTTCAGCGCTACCAGTTAATCTATCTGTACTGTAATAGACCTTTAGAACGCAATAGTTTTTTCTTTTTCCTTCATGATCTATCCTTATCCTTATTTAGTATTGGAATGGAACGACTTGGAAAAAAAAAATATATATAAATATATAAATATATATAAATATATATATGGAGGAAAGAAAATATATATATGAATATATATGTGTTAATAAAAGAATAAAAAGAAAGAAAGAAAGGACAGGGGAAAGCCGAATGTAAAAATATTCGAAAGAAAGTTTAGTGACGTCTTCTACAAGGGGAAATGGGCGAGGAAAAGAAGAAAGAAAGAAAGAAGCAACAAAGAAAAATAATATAAAATGTAGAATGGGAAATACAAGACACGAAAAAGCAAGAAAGGACGAAACCTGGTGTGCAAATCATAATGTCGAGTGTTCAGTGAAAAGAAATAAAAAGGAAAAGTACTGGAAGCGAAAGAAAGAAATGAAAGAAAGAAAGAGAATTGAAAAAATTTAAAGAAAGGGCTGAATGAAAAATCGAATCGAAGAAAAGAAGGAATATTGAAAAGTAGGGAAAGAAAAGAAAGAAAGAAAGAAAGAAAGAAAGAAAGAAAGAAAAAAGAAAGAAAAATAATATAAAAAAGAATGGAAAAAGAACGTAAGGAAAGAAGCAACAAGAGGCAAATGGAAAAACGAGAAAGAAAGAAAGAAAGAAAGAAAGAAAGAAAAAAAGAAAGAAAGAAAGAAAGAAAATAATATAAAAGCGAATGGGAAAAGAAGAAAAGAAATGAAAAGAAAGCAAAGAAAGAAAGAAAGAAAGAAAGAAAGAAAGAAAGAAAGAAAGAAAGAAAAATAATATAAAATGAATGGGAAATAAGAACGTAAGGAAAGAAGCAACAAGAGGCAAATGGAAACGAAAAAGAAAGAAAGAAAGAAAGAAAAAAATTTAAAAAGAAAGAAAGAAGAAAGGGAAAAAATGGAAAACGAGAAAGAAATAAGAACGAAAGAAAAAAGAAGAAAAAGGAAAGAAAAAAGAAGCAAAAGAAAAGAAAGAAAAGAAAGAAAGAAAGAAAAATAATATAAAATGCGAATGGGAAATAAGAACGTAAGGAAAAAAGAAGCAACAAGAGGCAAAATGGAAAAAAGAAAGAAAGAAAGAAAGAAAGAAAGAAAAAAAAGAAAATAAAAAAAGAAAGAAAGAAAGAAAGAAATAAAAAAAGGAATGGGAAATAAGAACGTAAGGAAAGAAGCAACAAGAGGCAAATGGAAAACGAGAAAGAAAGAACAAAAGAAAGAAAGAAAAAAGAAAGAAAGAAAAAGAAAGAAAGAAAGAAAAAGAAAGAAAAGAAAAGAAAGAAAGAAGGAAAGAAGCAAAAGGCAAATGGAAAACGAGAAAGAAAGAAAGAAAAGAAAGAAAAAATGAAAGAAAGAAAGAAATAAAAAAAAAGAAAGAAAGAAAGAACGAAAAAAGAAACAAAGAAAATGGAAAATAGAAAAAGCGAATGGGGGAAAGAAACAAAGGCAAATGAAAAACGAGAAAGAAAGAAAAAGAAAAAGAAAAAAGAAAAAGAAAAAAGAAAGAAAGAAAGAAAGAAAGAAAGAAAAATAATATAAAAATGCGAATGGGAAATAAGAACGTAAGGAAAGAAGCAACAAAGAGGCAAATGGAAAATGAAACGAAAGAAAGAAAGAAAGAAAGAAAGAAAAAAGAAAGAAAGAAAGAAAGAAAGAAAAGAAAATAATATAAAATGCGAATGGGAAATAAGAACGTAAGGAAAGAAGAGCAACAAAGGCAAATGGAAAAACAAGAAAGAAAGAAAGAAAGAAAGAAAAAAAAGAAAGAAAGAAAGAAAGAAAGAAAAAGAAAGAAAATAATAAAAATGCGAATGGGAAATAAGAACGTAAGGAATGAAGCAACAAGAGGCAAATGGAAAAGAAAGAAAGAAAGAAAGAAAAAAAAAGAAAGAAAAAAAAAAAAAGAAAAAAGAAAAAGGAAAAAACGAAAGAAAGAGAAAGAAAGAAAGAAAGAAAGAAAGAAAGAAAGAAAGAAATAAAAGAAAATAATATAAAAATGGGAAATAAGAACGTAAGGAAAGAAGCAACAAGAGGCAAATGGAAAAACGAAAAGAAAGAAAGAAAGAAAGAAAGAAAGAAAGAAAGAAAGAAAGAAAAATAAGAAAAATGCGAATGGGAAATAAGAATAAGGAAAGAAATGCGCAAATGGGAAAATAAGAATAAAAGGAAATGGGAAATAAGAAAAGGAAAGAAGCAACAAGAGGCAAATGGAAAAGAAAGAAAGAAAGAAAGAAAGAAAGAAAGAAAGAAAGAAAGAAAGAAAAAATAATATAAAATGCGAATGGGAAATAAGAACGTAAGGAAAGAAGCAACAAGAGGCAAATGGAAAACGAGAAAGAAAGAAAGAAAGAAAGAAAGAAAGAAAGAAAGAAAGAAAATAATATAAAATGCGAATGGGAAATAAGAACGTAAGGAAAGAAGCTAAAAAGAGCAAATGGAAAAAACGAGAAAGAAAGAAAAGAAAAGAAAGAAAGAAAGAAAGAAAGAAAGAAAATAATATAAAATGCGAATGGGAAATAAGAACGTAAGGAAAGAAGCAACAAGAGGCAAATGGAAAACGAGAAAGAAAGAAAGAAAGAAAGAAAGAAAGAAAGAAAGAAAGAAAGAAAGAAAAATAAAATGCGAATGGGAAATAAGAACGTAAGGAAAGAAGAAAGAAAGAGGAAAATAATATAAAAAATGGGAAAACGAAAGAAAGAAAGAAATGGAAAAAGAAAGAAAGAAAGAAAGAAAGAAAGAAAGAAAGAAAGAAAAAATAATATAAAATGCGAATGGGAAATAAGAACGTAAGGAAAGAAGCAACAAGAGGCAAATGGAAAACGAAAGAAAGAAAGAAAGAAAAATAATATAAAAAGAAAGAAAGAAAGAAAGAAAGAAAGAAAGAAAGAAAGAAAGAAAGAAAGAAAAAGAAAAAAATAATATAAAATGCGAATGGGAAATAAGAACGTAAGGAAAGAAGCAACAAGAGGCAAATGGAAAACGAAAGAAAAGAAAGAAAGAAAGAAAGAAAGAAAGAAAGAAAGAAAGAAAATAATATAAAATGCGAATGGGAAATAAGAACGTAAGGAAAGAAGCAAACAAGAGGCAAATGGAAAACGAGAAAGAAAAGAAAAAGAAAGAAAGAAAGAAAGAAAGAAAGAAAAAATAATATAAAATGCGAATGGGAAATAAGAAAAAGGAAAGAAGCAACAAGAGGCAAATGGAAAACGAGAAAGAAAGAAAGAAAGAAAAGAAAGAAAGAAAGAAAGAAAGAAAAAGAAAATAATATAAAATGCGAATGGGAAATAAGAACGTAAGGAAAGAAGCAACAAGAGGCAAATGGAAAAAAGAAAGAAAGAAAGAAAGAAAGAAAGAAAAAAGAAAAAGAAAAGAAAGAAAGAATGGAAAAAAGAAAGAAAAAAGAAAAGAAAAAATGCGAATGGGAAAGAACGTAAGGAAAGAAGCAACAAGAGGCAAATGGGAAAGAAAGAAAGAAAGAAAGAAAGAAAAAGAAAGAAAGAAAAAAAATATAAATGCGAAGCAAAATAAGAACGTAAAAAGAAGCAACAAGAAGGCAAATGGAAAAGAAAGAAAGAAAGAAAAGAAAGAAAAGAAAGAAAGAAAGAAAGAAAATAATATAAAATGCGAATGGGAAATAAGAACGTAAGGAAAGAAGCAACAAGAGGCAAATGGAAAACGAGAAAGAAAGAAAGAAAGAAAGAAAGAAAGAAAGAAAGAAAGAAAGAAAATAATATAAAATGCGAATGGGAAATAAGAAAAGGAAAGAAGCAACAAGAGGCAAATGGAAAACGAAAAAGAAAGAAAAAGAAAGAAAAGAAAGAAAGAAAGAAAAAGAAAGAAAGAAAGAAAGAAATATAAAATGCGAATGGGAAATAAGAATAAGGAAAGAAGAAACAAGAGGCAAATGGAAAAACGAGAAAAAAAAGAAAGAAAGAAAGAAAGAAAGAAAGAAAGAAAGAAAAATAATATAAAAATGCGAATAAAAATGCGAATGGGAAATAAGAAAGGAAAGAAGCAACAAGAGGCAAATGGAAAAGAAAGAAAGAAAGAAAGAAAAAGAAAGAAAGAAAGAAAAATAATATAAAATGCGAATGGGAAATAAAAGAAAGAAAGAAGCAAAAGAGGCAAATGGAAAAAAAGAAAGAATGGGAAAGAAAGAAAGAAAGGAAAATAAATAAAACAAGAGGCAAATGGAAAAACGCAAATGGAAAACGAGAAAGAAAGAAAGAAAGAAAGAAAGAAAGAAAGAAAGAAAGAAAATAATATAAAATGCGAATGGGAAATAAGAACGTAAGGAAAGAAGCAACAAGAGGCAAATGGAAAACGAGAAAGAAAGAAAGAAAGAAAGAAAGAAAGAAAGAAAGAAAGAAAATAATATAAAATGCGAATGGGAAATAAGAACGTAAGGAAAGAAGCAACAAGAGGCAAATGGAAAACGAGAAAGAAAGAAAGAAAGAAAGAAAGAAAGAAAGAAAGAAAGAAAGAAAGAAAAATAATATAAAATGCGAATGGGAAATAAGAAAAGGAAAGAAGAAACAAAAGAGGCAAATGGAAAAAACGAGAAAGAAAGAAAGAAAGAAAGAAAAAAAGAAAGAAAGAAAGAAAAGAAAAAAATAATAAAAAAGCGAATGGGAAATAAGAACGTAAGGAAAGAAGAAACAAGAGGCAAATGGAAAACGAGAAAGAAAGAAAGAAAGAAAGAAAGAAAGAAAGAAAGAAAGAAAGAAAGAAAGAAAGAAAGAAAGAAAGAAAGAAAATAATATAAAATGCGAATGGGAAATAAGAACGTAAGGAAAGAAGAAAAAAACAAAAGGCAAAATGGAAAACGAAAGAAAGAAAGAAAGAAAGAAAGAAAGAAAGAAAGAAAGAAAGAAAGAAAGAAAGAAAGAAAGAAAATAATATAAAATGCGAATGGGAAATAAGAACGTAAGGAAAGAAGCAACAAGAGGCAAATGGAAAACGAGAAAGAAAGAAAGAAAGAAAGAAAGAAAGAAAGAAAGAAAGAAAGAAAATAAATAAAATGCGAATGGGAAAAAGAACGTAAGAAAGAAAATAAAGAAAATGGAAAACGAATGGGAAAGAAAGAAAAGAAAGGAAAGAAAGAAACAAAAAAAAATGGAAAACGAAAAAAAAGAACGAAAGGAAAGAAAGAAAAGAAAGAAAGAAAGAAAGAAAAAAATATAAAAACGAATGGGAAAATAAGAACGAAAAGAAAGAAGAAAAACAAAGTAAAAAAAAAAAAAAAGAAAGAAAGAAAGAAAAAAATAAGAAAAAAGAAAAAATGAATGGGAAATAAGGAAAGAAAGAAACAAGAGGCAAATGGAAAAAAAGAAAGAAAGAAAGAAAGAAAGAAAGAAAGAAAAAAGAAAGAAAGAAAGAAAATAATATAAAATGCGAAAAAATAAGAACGTAAGGAAAGAAGCAACAAGAGGCAAATGGAAAACGAGAAAGAAAGAAAAGAAAGAAAAAAAGAAAGAAAGAAAGAAAGAAAATAATATAAAAATGCGAATGGGAAATAAGAACGTAAGGAAAAAAGAAGAAACAAGAGGCAAATGGAAAACGAGAAAGAAAGAAAGAAAGAAAGAAAGAAAGAAAGAAAGAAAGAAAGAAAGAAAAGAAAAAAATATAAAATGCGAATGGGAAATAAGAACGTAAGGAAAGAGAAAACAAGAGGCAAATGGAAAACGAGAAAGAAAGAAAGAAAGAAAGAAAGAAAGAAAAAGAAAGAAAGAAAGAAAGAAAGAAAATAAATATAAAATGCGAATGGGAAATAAGAACGTAAGGAAAGAAGCAAACAAGAGGCAAATGGAAAAGAAAGAAAGAAAAGAAAGAAAAGAAAGAAAGAAAAAAGAAAGAAAATAATATAATAAAAATGCGAATGGGAAATAAGAACGTAAGGAAAAAGAACAACAAGAGGCAAATGGAAAACGAAAGAAAGAAAAGAAAGAAAGAAAGAAAGAAAAGAAAGAAAAGAAAATAAAGAAAATAATATAAAATGCGAATGGGAAATAAGAACGTAAGGGAAAGAAGCAACAAAGAAAAAAGAAAGAAAGAAAAGAAAGAAAGAAGAAAAGAAAGAAAAAAAAAAAAATATAAAATGCGAATGGGAAATAAGAACGTAAGGAAAGAATAAAAATGGAAAAAAGAAAGAAAGAAAAAAAGAAAGAAAGAAAGAAAGAAAGAAAAATAATATAAAATGCGAAAAATAAAATAAGGAAAGAAGCAAACAAGAGGCAAAATGGAAAAAAACGAGAAAGAAAGAAAAGAAAGAAAGAAAGAAAGAAAGAAAGAAAGAAAGAGAAAGAAAGAAAGAAAGAAAATAAATAAAATGCTAGGGGGAAATAAGAACGTAAGGAAAGAAGCAACAAGAGGCAAATGAAAAAACGAGAAAGAAAAAAGAAAGAAAGAAAAAAGAAAGAAAGAAAGAAAGAAGTGAATAAAGATGGAAGCTACATGATATTATGAAATGATGGGATTGTATAAAAAAGAGAAGACAGTAGTACGAAAACTAAAAAATTATTTGAATCTAGTAAGAGAAACAGAGACATCTTGAGTGGGTGAGTAAATAAATAATAGATTAGGTTCAAGAGAAAGAGTAAAAGCGGGACAGAGAGGCGGGAAGAGTGAAAACAACGACAAAAATAAAGAGAGGAAAATAGGGGAAAGTGTGAGGAGGAGAAATTCTGTTGAAAAAGAGGAGGCGAGAAAAGTAAGAATGACGAACTAAAACTGCAAAAAGGGAAGAAAGAACAGGTAGGCAAAAGAAAGAGAGACTGTGACAAAACATAAGGGGGCGGGTGAAAGAGAGAGCAGAATAAATGTTGGATAGAAAAAAGTGGAAGGAGCAGAATCTGGTGGAAGGGTGAGGAGAAATAAGAGAGAGGGAATCACATAAATAAAAGAGGAGACGAGAAAGAAAGAAAGAAAGAAAGAAAGAAAGAAAGAAAGAAAGGAAGAAAGAAAGATAGGCTCAATGATAATAAGGAGTGGGTATCTAAATAAGAGAGAGAATATAGGGGGGTGTAGGTTATGCAGTAATGAAAGGAAACAAAACGTGCACACAAAATGTATTGCATTGATTATAATATACAAACATATCAATAACACATCAATAATAAACATATCAATAATAAGCATATCAATTCCTCAAATGTTCAAACTTTTTGCCCCCGTCATTCACATCCTCCTATTTACTTGCAAAAATTATTATTATTATTATTATTTATTAAAAAATAAAAATTATAATAAATGTATTATAATAAGATTATGGAAATAAAAATATAAAAAAATGAATTCCTGTGTTAAATGAATCCTAGAACCACTCTTATAATACTGGTATTACTGGCATAATACTTACTGTATACCTACTTTTGCAGCCCCCTGTATTGAAAGTGGAGAGCGTTGAAGGGAGATTATTCGTTTCTAGAAATAGCCAGTAAAGATGCTAAATGGAAGATGGCGGAATGAAAAAGTAGAAAGTGTAAGGCTAGTTAGAGAGGAAAACGGAACTGCACAAGATAGCAAATGGAGATAGATAGAGAGAGAGAGAGAGAGAGATAGAGAGCGTGAAAGTGAGAGTTAGAGTGAGAGTAAGACGATAAGAGTAAGGAGAGGAAGAAAGAGAAAGATGGGAAAAGAAAAAACATGGGCTTGAAGCGGGGAAAAAGATGTCAGACGATAAAAAGTGAAATGAATGCAAAGGATAATGAGTCGTAGGTAGAGAGAATTAATAAAAGGATAAAAGCGAGGACCGGGAAGAAAAAAAAAATACTAAAGATTAAAAGAAAAAAAAAACAGTCGAATAGAAAAGGAAAAACCGAAAGGCGATTTTTTAAAGAGCGTGTACGATAATTAAAGATAGAACGACGAAAATAGGAAGGAAGATACGATTAAAAAAGGCTCTACTTTTTAAATGATGATGATGACGACGATAATAATAATAATAACAACAACAACAACGTAAAACGAAAGTGAAGAGAGTAACTAAACGAAAGAAAGAAATTAAAACTTTATAGGGAGAAACAAGAAAACAGAAGTGGGAGAGGCTGTTTTAGTGAAATGGTATAGCAGGAGACAACAAGGGGAGATAACAAAAGTTGGACAGCAAGGAAAGGCTGGATGGATTCGTTAGAACACGACAAGTTTATTGTACTTGGTGACTCCACCTTGCAGTTTGCACCACAGACGGAAAATGTTATTTTATTTATTACCACATATTTTTTTTTTTTTTGATAATTTTTCTTCGATTTTTTATCTCTCCTTAGCAACAAATTTTCCTTCCTCCACTTTTACGCCTACTTTTAACAGTTAATTTCTCTTCTTTTTTTTTATTACAGGCCGTGTCCTTATCGTATTCTTGTTCGTTTTTTATTATTATTCTAAATCTTTAATTGTTATCATCGTCAGTTTGTATTCCTACGCTTTTCCATATCTTTATAATTGTTCGTATTTTATGCTATTTTTTAAATTCTACTTGTCTTCATAATATTTATTCTCATTAGACGTGTAACGTAATTCTAGCTAATTCGCCGGCTCCTATTCTTTATTTATTTTTCTCTTTGTTTCTTTCTTATCTTTATTCTCAATTTTATTCGGTTATTCTGGTTCTTAACTGTATTCGTTATTATTAATATTCTCATTCCAATGCATTGTTATTACTGATGTTCTTGATCTGTTTAGAAGAAGGAAATCTCTGAATTCAAAACCATCCTGGAGAGCATGTGCTCCACCAGAGTATCTTGCCCGGGAAACACTACTGCTACTGCAGCTACAACCCTAATGGGGTTATGGGTCTTGCCAACGTGAGTACGAGTTGTCCCCCAGTCTCAATAAGAGACTTCAAGAGACTAGTGTTTTTTGTTTTGTTTTTAAGTTTTTTGGGGGGTTGGTGGGGGGTATCAGATGAGTTGCTATAGAATTAGAAAGAACAAAATGTAACTTTTTTCGTTTGCTTGAAGAGAAATCTACACAAGATATGCGGATTAGCCAGGACACCTCGAAGTGGCGTAATGGTAAGCAAGCTTGTCTAGCTAGAACAATTACAACTGAGTAGTGAGTTCGATCCTCACTGGCTGCCACTTTCGGCCTTGTGCTACATCCAAGAATAATAAAGTCCTTCGGCTCCGTAGCTCAACTGGTTAAAGCGCCAGTCTTGTAAACTGGAGGTCCAGAGTTCGAAACCTTTCGGCCTTTCTCTTTGGACACCTTGACGTGGTGTAATGGTTAGCAAGCTTGTCTCGCTAAAACATTTACGGCTGAATAGTGAGTTCGATCCTCAATGGGTGCCCCATACTTTTGACCTTGTGTCACATCTAAGCTAAGCTTAGAAAATCAGTATGCGAAGTAGCTATGAATATCATTTTTTGCAGTACATATATTTTAGCGTACCAGGAATTTGTTTGCTCCTTTTGATATAATTCCCAAGATCCCAATAACAAGAGTTAATGTCGTTGTCTTCAGATGACACATTTAGCTGATTTCTATCTAGAGATACTTGTATTTACTTAGCTTCTCAAATGTTTTCAAAGATGTAATTTTGTCGATTGGGCCTGCAAGATCTATCAGAAGATATATGTTTTCAATATGACTTTTAACAATTATGTCTGCTCGATTTGCCTGGATGTCCATATCAGTTTGAACGCTAACATTTCAGAGAATGGTAACCGCATCACTTTCTCCTAACTTGTGGTGTCTTGTGCGTTCATCATTTCTCATACATCTTTGATCTATATCAGGATTACTGGCTATGGTAGCATAATTGCTGTGCCGAGGTTTTTCTCTCATTTCTTATCTGTTTTCAAGATCGAATTGTTTTGCTGAATTTTTATTTGCTTTGTTTTTTTCAGTTAGGGTTGCATTATTATTATTATTTTTATTTTCTTTGATTTCTGGCGTTTACACATTTCTTTCCGTGTCCCGCCCAGGGACCTAAGGTTAGAAATGGCATCATGACACTTTCCACTGACAAAAAAAAAAAAATTACATCGATAAAGCCCTTCGTAAAGTGTACGCTGTACTTGTCAGAACAATTTTTTGTATCTCCTTGTGGCATGGACTTCCAGGAAACCCTTCAATTAGTCTACTGCAATCTTTTCCAACCAGTCCTAGGGCTCCAACTACAACAGGGATTGTTGATGTTCCCATATGCCACATTTTCGAGATTTCTATTTCAAGGTCCTTGTATTTTGACAGCTTTTTGAATATCTTCAAAGATACATTGCAGTCAGCAGGGACTGCCATATCAACAAGGAGGCACCGTTTTTGTTTGTGGTCTATAATAACAATATCTGGGCGGTTGGCTTTGATTGTTCTGTCAGTGTGTATTGTGTAGTCCCATAGAATTGTAACAGGTCCTATCTCCGTAACCGGGTCTGGGTGGTGTTCATACCAGTTTCTTTCAGTTTCCTTCCCGTAGAAGTTGCAGATTTTCCAGTGCAGATATTGGCCTACTCTGTCATGTCGGGTTTTATATTCAGTGGGTGCCAACATCGTGCAACCTGATACAAGATGGTCAATCGTTTCTGGATATTTATCACAGAATCTGCATTTTGGGCTGACACAATATTTTAGTATATGTGCTTGATAATTCCTAGTTAGCAAGCATTGGTCCTATGCAGCAAGGATAAAACCTTCAGTTTCAGCATTCAACCCTGCACTACGTAGCCACTGATGGGTACGTGTTTTGTCTACGTCAGCTTGTTTGGTACGGGCAGGGTATTGGACATGAAGCGGTTTATCTTGCCATCGCTTCTGTATATGGACGGTTGCATTCGTCTTTGCTATCTTTTTTAAGTATTTTGCAGTTTCAGCCGGTGTATTGTGCTGTAGTTGCATCTCTACTCCCATTTGAAACTCCATTTTGAATTTGTTGGCTTCTTTTATTACGGAGTAAAGACGCTTACTACTGTCATGTTCCTTGACGCATACCATCATCCAGTCTTTTGTAGTTTCCAAGTATCTTTGGAGGCCAATTGTTGTAATTTTGTAGGACAGTTCTAGTTGAACTAATCCTCAGCCTCCTTCGGATCTGAGCAAATACAGACGATCAACATCAGCTTTGTGATGGTGCATGCAATAGCAAGTAAGAAGTTTTCTCGTTTTGGCGTCCATTCGATTAATTTCAGCTATGGTTAAGGACATTAAAGCTGTATTGCACTACAGGGACAGCCAATGTGTTTATGGCCGATATTCTGTTTTTTGAGTTTAGCTCAGTATTTTGTACCAGACGTACACGCCTGTAGTACTTTTTTCTTATTTTTTCCTTCATTTGGGAGTGTTGTATGCCATCTCCTTTCGCTAATTATTATTATTATTTCTTCCTTTGATTTATGTTGTATATACATTTACTTCCGGGTCCCAATCAGAGACCTAAGATCAGAAATTGCTTCATGACATTTTCCACTAATCATTTTTGTAGACAAAAAACTAAGACGACACACGTTTTATATAGATAAAGATCTTCGTAATGTGTGAACTGTACTAGTGTGTATATTTTTTTTTATTTCTTTAAGGTATGGTCCCTATGTCCACAGACACACACACACACTCTCACTCTCTCTCTCTCTCTCTCTCTCTCTCTCTCTCTCTCTCTCTCTCTCTCTCTCTCTCTCAGAAATCCCTTCAATGAGCCTATTGGAATCTTTTCCAATCAATTATTGATGCCCTCACGTGCCACAGTTTTCAGATTTCCACTTCATGATACTTTTTTTTTTTTGTTTAAGCGTTTCACCCCAAGCAAGGCGGGAAGCCACTAGGATGCAAGGGGTTACAGGAAATGGCAAGATCAGATAGGAGTGATAGAAGGAAGGATGAGGGTAGTGGATAGATTAAGGCAACTGGAGATGTCGATTGACATTACATTTGAATAGCTGGAGATTATAGCTCACAGGGAAACAGGAGAAGGGAAGGGAGTTCCACAGGCGAGAGGTGCGAGACATGAAGCTATTAGAGTAGAAGAGACGGCTACATTTAGGATTTTCGACAGTGAAGGGGTGAGATCGGAATGCCAGCCTCGTAGGGCGCTTGAACTCATGAAGTTTGGGAACCAGCGAATGCAGCTCCTCGGAGCACTTTCCATGAAAGTATTTGTAGAAGAGACAGAGGGAGGCGACGGTGCGTCTGTGAGAAAGTGACTGTAGACGAGACGCCAGGGCAGGGCCAACCATATTGCATATCCGCTTCTGGAGCCTATCAAGAACCCCGAGACAAACAGAAGGGGCGCCAGACCATATATGGCAACAATACTCCATGCAAGGGCGAATTGTGGATTTGTATATCTGGAGGATCGACTCAGGGGAGAAAAACTTCCAAGCGCGGCTCTTGTATTTTGATAGTTTTTGAAGATCTTCAAACATACATTACAATCTGCAGGGACTGCCATGTCAATAAAAAAGCACATTCTGTTCTTGTGGTCTTTGATAACAATGTTTCATTGAGTATCTTTAATTGTTCTGTCTGTGTATATTGCAAAGTCCCATAAAACTGTTACAGGTCCTATCTCTGTAACCGGATCTGGGTAATGATCATACCAGTTTCTTGTAGTTTCCTTCACGTATTATTATTATTATTATTATTATTATTACGTTACCTGATTTGCATATCAACATGAAATATAGAAATATAAATTTAAATATAAAAGGAACAGCAAGCAACGTCACGTTAACGTTAATACTTTGCAATGCATTAAGCAAGCTTGTCTCACTACATCAATTAAGACTGGATGGTGAGTTCCATCTTCACTGGGTGCTCCATACTTTTAGCCTTGTACCACAGCTAAGCTTAGAAACGCACTTATTGTTTTATTCATTTCTCGACTAGTTACTATTCTTTTTTTTCCATTTATATTTCATCCTATTTCGCTCATATATCATTCATACCGCGATCATTTAATTTCATTCATACCTCGAACATTTTAATTTCATTCATACCTCGATCATTTAAAATTCATTCTTACCGCGATCATTTTAATTTCATTCATACCGCGATCATTTAAATTTCATTCATACCTCGATCATTTAAAATTCATTCATACCGCGATCATTTTAATTTAATTCAGACCTCGAACATTTTAATTTCATTCATACCGCGATCATTTTAATTTCATTCATACCTCGAACATTTTAATTTCATTCATACCTCGATCATTTTCATTACATTCATATCTCGATTATTTTAATTTCATTCACACCTCGATCATTTTCATTTCATTCATACCTCGATCATTTTAGTTTCATTCATACCTCGATCATTTTCATTACATTCATATCTCGATTATTTTAATTTCATTCACACCTCGATCATTTTAATTTCATTCATACCTCGATCATTTAAAATTCATTCATACCGCGATCATTTTAATTTCATTCATACCTCGATCATTTTAATTCTATTCATACCCCGATCATTTTAATTTCATTTATACCTCGATTATTTTAAATTCATTCATACCCCGATCATTTTAATTTCATTCATACCAGACCATTGAAGATGCAACAGGACATCAAGCGAACCATCTATATCTCTTTTCTCTTATTCTGCCCTGAAAAATGATTCGATGAAGTCTTACCTCACTCCCGGCACATCAGATATTTGAAGATGCGACAGGACATCATGCGAACCTCCTTGACCACTCCCTCTTTAAAACAGATAGATAGATAGATAGATAGATAGATAGATAGATAGATAGATAGATAGATAGATAGATAGTGTTACTTTCTATATAGAGGGAGAGAAGGGGAGAGACAATGTTCAAATATATTGCTTGTAAAGATAGATAGATAGATAGATAGATAGATAGATAGATAGATAGATAGATAGTGTTGCTTTCTATATGGAGGGAGAGAAGGGGAGAGAGAATGTTTAAATATATTGCTTGTAAAGATAGATAGATAGATAGATAGATAGATAGATAGTGTTACTTTCTATATGGAGGGAGAGATGGGGAGAGGGAATGTTTAAATATATTGCTTGCAAAGATAGATAGATAGATAGATAGATAGATAGATAGATAGATCCCTTGCCTTGTATCACACTTTATTCATCCACCGATTCTGCTTTGATGTGTCTGTCTTTAGTAACAGAACGGACATTCCCAAGCAGTAATCGGAATCATCATCTTGTATGTCAGGCTGCGTCCGTTGGTAAGCGTCATTCCATCAATGATTTTCTATTTTTAAAAAAAATGTCTGCTATCCTGCACGACTGTCTGATATTCTGGGCATCGTATAAATGTCGGCACTTTGCCAAATTTTAGTTGAAATGGTCGATGATCGAAAAGTAGGTCTCTGCTTAAACAAGAAATGTGAGAAAATGACGTCTCCCAGAAGATCACAGGGTCAAGGATACTGACAAATCCGTTGCTGTCTGCTGGCATATACCTATTGATCTATCGATGTCTGTTGGCATCAACCTACCAACTCCAGTCTTTTGAGACCTGCTCATTCTAACTACCTGTCTCACTCAATCTCTGTGGATCATGCTATCCCTCTGTGTCAGGCTGTTTTCCGGACTAAACGGTAAGTCCCTCTATCCTGAGGGACTCAGGTTAGATTCCTGCCAGAAAATGCAATTTTTTCTCTAATAAGATTACGCGAACATTCAGGCCGGTAGGCGAAAATAAATAAATATAATGTTTAATAAATAAACAGAACGTCTACTCAAATACGAGTATCCACTAAAAATAAGTAACGTTTAAAAGTAATAAAAAAATCTGTTGGCTTACTAAAAATCTATTCTCATATATATATATATATATATATATATATATATATATATAAATATATAATAATAATATATATATATATAAAATGAGCATAGAAGTCAACACTTAGAGGCAACAGTCTGTTTCGTGACCTGACGATTGCATATAGCATGAAACAGACTGTCGCCTCTAAGTGTTGACTTATATGTTCACTTTTATATTTACATACGCTCTATCTCTGATATTGAGCACTTTATCCCATAAATATAGCACACCTTAAGACTATATTTCTTCATTCATATATATATATATATATATATATATATATATATATATATGGGATTAATATGAGTAAAAGCTTGTCACTTGGTTGGTTGATGTTTCTCCAGAGTTTCGTAGGCGGACCTGTCCGTCCACTCTTTAGTCATTGTCAATAATTTATATAAATATAATTACTTCAAATATTATTTTTACTGAATATCCTTTTTTATGTAGACGCCCGTTTATTTAACAGTGTTTTATTTCGTTTACTGGATTGTGCATTCAAGAATACTTAATTCTAACCTGCATCCACTGCGTACCCTGCGTACCATTTAACATTGATGACAAAATCATTTCCATAATATTTACTATTTGTTTCTAAAGCTATTGTGCTGCATAAATCCAATATTCACACCAGTTCCTTCGTTGATTTGGGGTTTTTTTTTTGGGGGGGGGGTATACATTTTTTAATCATTTCACTACAAGCAAGGCACTAAAGCCGCTAAGACGCAAGTTGTTACTGAGTGTGAGAGAAGATGACAAAAAAAAGGACAGAGGACACTAAAAGAACAAGAATTAAGAAGACAGAAGGTAGCAATTGACATTGCATTTAAATTTTTGAAGATCAAACTTGACTGAGATTCAGGAAGCTGGAAGAGAGTTCCTCAAACGAGAAGTGCGAGAGAAGAAACTGTTAGCATAGAACTTACGCTTACTTCTAGCCATTTCAACTCTAAAATGATGAGACCTAACCGCCCATCTAGTACTGCGCTTAAATTCATAAAGTCTTGGTACCATAGAGGAAAGTTCATCAGAAAAATTTTCATGAAAGTATTTAACGAAAAGTGTTGTGGATTCCGAGTTGAAATCCGGTACCAATAAATAACAAACGCCAAGAATGAATATATGAAAATAATGTATTAACGTAATAATACAAACTGGTAATGCAGGTTAGTAATTCTGGGAATACGGGATAGTAGCAAAATATCTATACAGTCTTTGGTATTGAAGTATCGCTGTCTGACTTCTTACCGAGTCTATGTGCTCGCTCACTGTGACTCCTACAACGCTGTTACCTCACCCCTCACTCTTCCGGTTACCTACAACCTTTTACTCTGTCACTCTGGACTTGACTCCACGGTCTTGCTCCCTCTCTTCCCCTCGTCTCGCTCTTGCAGTTGTATATATATATACTGGGTGATTTCATTTGTATAAAAAGGGGTGGACCCCTCAACAAAAAGGGACATGGAAGCTACGTTATGGTGGTAGGAGAGTGACTGAAGCCGAGATGCCAGGTCAGGACCAATAACATTGCAGATTCTTCTTTATATTTTATCAAGAATCTCTAAATAGATAACAGAAGCACCAGGCCAAATGTAGCAGGTATATTCAGAACATGGACGAATAATAGACTTATAAATATATAAGATAGATTCTAGCGAGAAAAATTGTCTAGTACGGTACAGTGAATCAACTTTCCTAATAGTAGACCTAGCATTTGATTAAATACACTCTTTCCACTTCATAATTTCCTACTCCTATTGGCATATAACAATGTGAGAACTATCGACGTCCCGAGTCAATAGTTCTTTTTTTTAATTTTTTATTTTATTTTTATTTTTTTTAAAGCATTACGCCCCGAGCAAGGCGTGAAGACACTAGGATGCAGCGGGGTTGCAGAAGATTTAGAACAAGAGCAGATAGGAGTGATAGAAGAAAGGATGAGGAGAAGGATAGTGGATAGATCAAGGTAACTGGAGATGTCGATTGACATTACATTTGAATAGTTGAATAGTTGGAGATTATAGCTCTCAGGGAAACAGTAATTGGGAAGGGTGTTCCACAGGCGAGAGGTGCAAGGTATGAAGCTATTGGAGTAGAAGAGACGGCTACATTTAAAAGTTTCTACAGTGTAAGGGTGAAAGCGGGATGTCAGCCTCGTAGGGCGTTTGAATTCATGGAGTCTGGGAACCAGTGAAAGCAGCTCAGCGGAGCAATTACCTTGAAAGTATTTGTAGAAAAGACAGAGAGAGGCGACGGCGCGTCTGTGAGAAAGTGACTGTAGACGAGATGCCAGATCAGGGCCAATTATATTACATATCCATCTCTGGATGTTATCAAGAACTCCGAGGTAAACAGAAGGTGCCCCAGACCATATATGGCAGCAATACTCCATGCAAGGGCGAATGGTTGATTTGTATATTTGAAGTATCGATTCCGGGGAGAAAATTTCCTGGCGCAGCACAGAGAGCCAACATTCCTCGCGGTGGAAGAAGCAATTGACTCAATGTATTTGTTCCATCTCAGGTCAGCAGTCAGCGTGAGACCGAGCAGACGCAGGGAGTTGCTCTCAGGAAGTTGACTATCAGACATTTTAATGGGGGGCAGGGAAGGATCTCTATGGTGGTTAATAGAGATTAGTTTAGTTTTTGAGGCGTTAAAGTTGACCAGCCAGTTCTTGCCCCAGTTAACAACCGATTGGAGGTCCATTGCTTTTCATTTTTCACAAGTCCTTTGACATTAAGTGTGCCGATGGTAAAATCTTTTTATGCAAATTCAGGCATTTATAACATTTTAAATAAGAAGTTGCCACCTTTTTGTAATGGCAACCTTTTTGGTCTTTTGAACAAAAGTAGAGGTTTATCCGGAGACACGATGGAGTAATTCGAATTCGAATTCCAGTCTGATCCATTACATTTACTTACGTGTTAATACCCTTGGGAAAGGTATGAATCTTCTTCTTCTTCCGGTTATCAGTAAATAGCATGACAAACTGTGTTCTATAGCCTTGGGTGGCAACTGGTCTAGGAGAAGGAAAACTCTGAATTCAAAACCGGCTTGATGAGAGTTGGGCTTCATCAGGCCATCTTGCCCAAGAAACATCACATCTACTACGCTGCAGTACTTGTGATTTCCCTACAACCTTGATGGGTTACAGGATCGATCGATCGAAAGGTTTATCCTTTGTTTCCTGTTTAGGATTGGGTTGAGTTTCTAATTTCTTTTAAAGTATTTTCCTTCACTTTCAGTAGACCCCCGCGTGTTATCGCCTTACTTGGAGTGAACTGATTAAAAAAATGGCTTTAACTTTTGACAGTCGGAGAAGCCATTCCCACGCCGAGAAAAAGTAACGTCAAGCCTTACACTAAATGACGCAAGGTTTTGGCATATTAAACGAAAGTAAATTAATGTTGTTATTTTTTGTGAAATTATTATTTATTCATGTTATATATTTCAATTTGTCCATATGCACTACCACTTTCGTGTTTCTAGCCCACCCACGGCGCCAAAGTATGGTTTATACTGCAAGCGCAATACTAGACTTGCGGCTAGTTCTCATCTTTTACACTTGAAATGGCCAGATGCAACCGTAAGTTCTATGCTAACAGTTTCTTCTATCGCACTTCTTGCTGGGAGAATTCTCTTCCAGATTCTTGCTTCCCAGTCAACTTTGATTTTCAAAAATTTAAATGCAATGTCAATCGTTATTTTCTGTCTTCATAATTTTTGTTCTTGTAATGATCTCCTTCCATGTTAGTGTTTTTTTCTCTCTCATTTTCTTTAATATTCAGTAACGTTGCGCCTTAGTGGCTTTAGTACCTTGCTTACGATGATATTATTAAATATATCTATGCTGTGAGGACCTGAAATTTCAAGAATACATCCCACCGAGTTCACATACGGTTTTGAATTTAATGCTACCCATTTTCTATACTGGTTGGCAATCACATTTACTATTTAAGAAGAGCTGAATTTCATACCTTTCCCAAGGGTATTTGTGAGAGATGCAACGCTCTCGATGTGAATTCAAACCCGGATAATCGATCTCTTGTTCCGTGTATCTAACTATATCCGAAATTCTTGGGACCGGAAATGCTTCCGTTCTCAGATTTTTCGGATTTTGGAATACAGGCTATTTAATCTGTATATATATAAGATGGGGCAGCTTGGGAATGGTACCCAAGCATAAATGCGATACTTCTTTACATTTCATGACACAGCTTATACATCTACCCTGAAGGTAGTTTTATATAAATAACATATATCCTAAAAGTAGTTTTGTATAAAATTTAATAAATTTTGTGTACATACAGATATAGGTAATGACGCTAGTCATGTAATGCTCACATGGACTTTTAAGTGTATTTACTTGACAGCCCCACCTCCCCACTGAGTCAGGTTGTGACACAAGGTCGGTTTTTAACGTGGGGACCCGAGTGTTTTCCCTCGGGCCGCTGGTCTAAGCTGGTCTTAGCTGGTCAAAGCTTGTCCAAGCTGTTCAGAGCTGGTCTAAGCTAGTCATAGCTGGCCTTGGCTTGTCGTAGCTGGTCCAGGCCGGAGCCGGTCCAAGCTAGTCGTAGCCGTGATACCACCACCCCAGGGACGAGCCCAGTGCCAGGTAAGTGTATTTACTTGACCCCCCCCCCCACTGAGTCAGGTTGTG